TATATTTTTATATAACTCCTCGGATCTGAACGATTCATACAAGTCACCCAAATGGCCACGAAAAAGCGAGTTGCGCTTTTCGGCACGCTGTTTGCATCCCTGCTAATGGCATTTATAACTTCAGAAAGGCCAGTAACCTTGTGAATACTGGCACAAATTATCCGCTCAGCACTTCAAGCAGAGAGAAGAACGCTGAAGCCACAAAGTGGTGCAGGATCTGCATGCAACCAGGCTGTCACAGCATGCTGCGAATGTGGGATCTTCCATGCATCCTGCCAGTGTAAGAAATAAATATTACAGGTCTGAAGGTGCAGTACAAGACACAATAGATGAAGACAAAAAAACAGAATTACATAGTGTAATGATAAGTGCTTAAATAGGTGTCACCGATAAGTGGCAGTATAACATCAGTAGGCCACTGGTAGAGTAATAGTTGTTGCAGGAAGTAGTGGAACATGTGAGTGACTGATCGTGAGCACAAGAATAAACAGCTAGCTGAAGCTAACACAAAGTTCTATATGATGTTTTAATATACATAAACAAGAACTTTACACATAGTTTTTCAATCATTGCCTATGTATAGCATAAGCAAGATGCGCTTTGAGCAACAGTGGGAGTGAACCAAGTCCTTCTTCTGCCTCCAGATGCTCCAAGCACACCTTCCCATGCCACAGGAACACCAAGAGCCTGGACACTTTTGAGCTTTTATAATGACCACTGTAACATAAATTCCATCAAAACATCAACATTGCATTTGTCAGTGCTGTGTGATGTCTGAATAACAAGTTTTTAATCAATTCAACTCTAGGACAAAACTGACCTCTGCAAACCACACAAGTGAATCCATCCCTCACATTCCTGGACTGTTCTTCGGTCAGTACCAGTGAGCGCGTTTACATGCACACTAATAAACGGATCATTATCTGATTTCTGGAGTTACCTGATTATTCAAGTGGTCATGTAAACAGCATAATCCGATAGGCTTAATCAGATAAAAGCCATTATCTGATTATGAGAAATCAGATAAACACATCTAGCTTTTTCCCCAATAGTCAGATTATTCGGTGCATTTAATCTGGTTTCTTTCGGGTTTTGCTATTTTATACTCCCACTCCACTACATTTTAGAGGGAAATATTGTACTTTCTACTCCACTACATTAATCTGACATCTTTTGTTTCCTTTCAGATAAAGATTTTACATAAAATATGTTTATATTCTCAGTGTTTAAATTGTCACTTTTATTTTATCTTACTTATATGTTATGCACTTTGTGTGACAAGTTTATATACAATACACTTGTATATTGCATTTTGCAGTACTTTTACTCCCAAAGTATGTAAAATTGGCTCCACATTGATAAACTACACATTAGAATGCTCTCACATGTATTTGTTAATGATAAAAACAGACAGTACTGTAAGAATATAAGCTGTCAGCATAAGTGCTTTATTTTGCAAATATATGACTTGCGTACTTTTCGAGGTTTTTCAAGGATATGAGTACCTACTGTAACAGGAAGTTTGTGTTTTATGTCATGTACTTGTGGTGAAATCCAACTGAAGGATTGAATCATGTAAACCATGTTTTTCTGATTATCAGATTATTGAAGTGCACGTAAACGTGTCAAATCGGATTATTACCATTACCTGATTATTCCCAGTTATCTGATTATGGCAGCAGTCACCTCAGACAAACCCTGAGCAGTCAGGACAACCTCCTCAATTTTCTCAAATACACTGTCCAGTCTGCCATTATCATCTCTGCGTCTATGAAACAGAAACATTGCATGTATATATTAAATAATTTATTAATATATTTTATTCATTTATTATATTTTTAAGCTCTCAACAGCTTGGCCATGTATAAGTACAGGAGACAAGGCTGATGAACTCTTCCTCAAATCAATTATCAACTCAATATAATAATAATAATAATAATAATAATAATAATAATAATAATAATAATAATAATAACAGCGGGAAAGACTCAACCATGGCGGTGTTTGGACTCACTGAGGAACATGGCATTCATTTAGTTGCTCTCAACATATTGTGTCACACCAGCTTTGCTCTTTATTAGAGGCCATGCTTAGCGTTTTACGATGACTCATGTCAGAAGGAAAAGGCGAGGAGGTGTAACAAGCCACTGGCAGTCCAACTTATGAGATTCTCCGCCTCTTTTGTTCCACAGCTTGGAAGTCAGCCTCAGGTACAGCCATGATTTTTCGAGAATTCTGCTTCCAGTAAAATGAGCCTAAATGAGTGCAAAAAATGTATAATGTATGAATAAGAACTAATTCTTGAGACTGACATGAATGCAAATAAATCTAGTTTTATCTGAAATGACAGTAAAAGTTTGACATTGTTTATGGCTGCAGTTTGAAATGTGGGACTTTATAAATGTCGATGCAGCAATTCAAAGCCCACAATATATTTGCAACCTGATTGTGAAGCAACATAAATGTTCCTGCCACTGTCAAGGTAAATCTTTGAGACACAGGACTATGGTTACTTAAACTGTAAACTGACAAGGTAAATAAAGTTGCTCAAATGAAGCACCTCTTGTTCCTTCTGAGTCCAAAATTTCCACTCCATTGTGATCTGTCAGGATGAGTGGTTTGTTGCTTCCTAAGGCATATTTTGTTTTTGCAATCATAGATGGGACACTGGCCTCCTGCTCAGTAAATCTTATAACCACCATTCTGCTGTTCACAAGCTTTCCACTGTGTAACTCTCCCAGTCTGACAGTCCTGGAATTCAGAAAAATTACATTTAGGGTCATTCATAATGATGAACATAGAGAAGTGCACATAAAACATTTCTTTTTGTTGACAGGGGCATGGAAATTTAAAAAGAAAATTAGCTTACCTTGTAAAGTATTTCAGGGATTGGGCCCTGGGTGGCAGTGAGGGACTTGCTGAGCTAGCCGACCTGGAGAAGCAAAACTGGCTGTTTGAGGAAGGAGTAGGAGGGGGCCCCAAGGCAGCGACATTACCACTTGCATCTGGTGCAGCCTTGGCCCCATGTACCTCGTAATGGGCCTTGTCCCTGAGGCTGAGTGAACTGAAGCGGCCATCCACTCTGGGGAACACTGCCACATTGTTATCACCAGCAAGGTACAGACTCTGGCTTGTTACCTAAAGGACAGTCAGGTTTTCTTAAATCAGCAAAATGTGGGTGATGGAATTTACTCTATCCGTAATACTCTTATAGACATAGGTACAGCACTACAATCAGCAGCCATCAATCAGTTTATTAGGTTCACCTAGCTAAAACTAATGTGATCCAACACAACAGTCCTGCAATAAATCATGACTGGTTAAAATGTAGAAGTCATGATGTCTATTATTTGTTTAAACAGTTTTAAATTAGCATTGCTTTAACTGTATGATCATTTTGATAATGATGGTGGTGATAATGAACTGTATTACATTGTACACAGAGGTGTTTCTGTCACTGAACCTAGTCTCACTGATATAAAGAGGGTGCACAAAATACTAGAAACACCTGTCAGTACAACACAATACAGTTCAACAGCACCATTAACTGCAACTTCAAAAATAGCCACATCAACACCTCTCTAAAACACAAGTCTGTGTGCTCCCATGCATTTCCCCAGTTCACCTCTCTAAAACAGTTTCAACACAAACTGAACATAATAACCTTCATGAAGGTATTAATTATAGTAGGACTATCACATTAGACCAAATTATGTTTATCTTGATGGACCTAATAAACTCGGTTGAGTGGGGTTAAGGGGCAGGATGGGAGGCTGTATGTATCTCATAACTTTACATAACTCCAACAGATCAGTAACTTATGGATTAATATCTATGTGCCTGACAACTAGCCGTCTTTAGAGTTCAGCCAATGTCACACATTCTGTAAATGTAAAACTTAATGCTAACAAACTAGCATGAATTAGCTAGCTAAATATCTTTGGGAAAGAGACATATTATTGTTTGTAAACGTTAAGCAACTTTTGAGGACTATATTACCTGTAATATTTTAGCCATCTTTTCCACCGTCATGTCTTCCTCTCTGAAGGTGACCCTCCTGGGGGCCTTGAATAGCACAAAGGATGCGTCCATCTTCATCTCTCTGCGTCCATCTTCATCGCTACTTTATTGCGCATGCGCGAGCAATAGAAAGACACCATGGGAAATGGGAAAATCAGTAACCGAAAACGTAAATTAGACTTATTATTTTGTTTTCGTTTATTATATTTTCTGTTTTGAGCTGAAAATAGGAAAACAAACACCAATCTTCCATTTTTTGGTTACACAGAAAAACTAAATATTGACTCGTTTTTTCGTTTTTTATTTGCTAGATTGAATGGAATAACTGAATGATCGGATGATACACGGACCATGAAAGCAGCACTGTATATTTAGGCTAAATGTTACAGATCAGTATTTTCGTCCCTAAAAATCAACAAATAATTGTGATAGATAATTGTGATCTCATATTCATCAAAATAATCATAATTATCATTTTGGCTATAATCATGCAGCCCTACTATGAACTTGTCACTTTGGGCTTTAGGACACTGCAGTGGAATCATGTATTCAGATTTTGTTCTTACTCATTAGGCTACATCATCCTTTCTAACTGCAACTCCACGGCAAATTTTCACTGCCCTGCTTATTTCGTTCAGTTGTGGTTGTCAGTAAAAGTTAACCCCTAAATTAACAAGTTTTCCCTATATTTTTTTTATTGGAGATGGGTGGCTGCGACACAACAACAGACGGATAAAATGTCCTAGCAAGGACAAAATGCCAGCTGATAGTGAAGAGGGCCAGCAGTGAGCAGGGACTCTGTGTGAATCATCCGACCGCAGTGCAACAGCCTGTGCTTTCACCGGGAGGCTTTACGTCAGCAGCGTTTTAATCTCATCATGAGCCTCCAGCCCTACATACTCATTCAGCCTCATTTCCCAACGACTACAAGTAAACACCTCGAACCACACAAGCAAAGGGACTATCTGTTTCGACCTTACCGTTTGAACATCATCTCCATGTCCTTAATCTGCTTGCGGGAGAACTCCTTGAACTCGGTGTAGGGGTTGAAGATACGGGTTAACCGAGGCGCAGCGTTGCCCTCGTTGATGTCCTGCCTGCGTATCAGTTTGGCCGACAGCTCGGAGGACGACTCGCCGCAGGCTGCCTCGGCCTCCTGCGGGTTAGGTTGGGCCAGGCTCTGTACGGGCTCCGGCCTCGGTTCATCCTCCCACGTAGCAACTAGCCGCGACTGTAGCTTCCGAGCCAGCTCTTCAGACGCCATGCTGAGAATGCCAGGCTGCTCACTGATGCTTTGAGAGAGAGAGAGGAGCCCGACAGCCGTTTCAACTACTACTGTCTAAGAGCCTGTGGCCAGCTAATAAGAGGGGACAGAGCTTCCGGTCGCACCATTTCAAAATAAGACGGTCATCTCTAGTACTGTTCAATGAGGGTTCCAAGGGTACGTCCCAAGTCCCTTAAAATTACTGCTAACCACCTTATCTAGCCACCTTATCTAACTGTTTAGTCCCTCCCACTTAGGAAAACATGCAAGGAGTCAGGAGTGAGGAGCGAGGATTGCTGATTAAGAGACATGAGACGGCCTTACTCTGAAGCGTCATGTAAAGCGACGTCCTATTTTGATGACGGTGGCCCCACCTGTGACTTTGGTCACACACTTTTGCATGTATTACCATTGTTATTGAATCATTTGCCAAAGTTTGTCGCAATTAGAACGGTCTGTAGCCCTGCCACTGTGACTGTGATGAGCATCATTAGGGGCCGGGCAGCCTAAGCTACCAGGACCCTATTGTTATCCTGCATGTTGTTGTCAGTGTTGCCAGATCTCGCGAGACAAATAAGGGGCTTGTATCACGAAGCAGGATTTTGTCTTAGCGAGGTAACTTCAGGGTTAACCCTGGGTTTTCGGTCTCACGAAGCCGGTTCAGTTCTTATCGGGGTAGATCACCATGGTAACTTACTCTGAACGGCTATCCTGCTCCGGAGCAGGGTAAGTTCAGGGTTGAATCTGATCCTGTAAAAAGCACCACCCACTGGCCAATCAGCTGTTCGGAAAAAAATGACTCCGCTGACAGAAATGCAGCCCAGTCATGACGGGAAGTTTAATTAATTTGATTGATTTTGATTTGAAAGTTTATTTTGAACATTAAAAAAGAAAAGAAAGCAACAACAACAGACAATGAAAAGATTGTTCAAAA